GAATTACAACATAATTGGCCAACATACAGATTAGGCCTCTGTGATTCCTTACAACAATGAACTATCTTGAAAGAATCCCTGAACAAGTCCCAACATTAGCTTCAGGGCCCTTTTGCTAGTTTATGACATACAGGAAGACCCATCAAGCAGCAGTTCTCTACTCTCCCATTTTTTACTGTTGTTGTTGTTTCTTAAACCATTGCATTCTTAAGCTTCAATAGCAGATGATGCCTCAATTAGAAGGAATAAGTATAGTTAACTGTTAGCAAGATATATTTTCTCTCCCTCGTGATTTACAGACACTGAAGTGTTAAAAAAGAAAAAAAAATCTGTTATTTTACTGAATTTCTTAGGTGGGTGTCACACTTGTATGTTACCTTGTCATCATAACACATCCTTCTGATATCAGGTAAGGGTTGTCGTCATAACCTGGAGGCTTCCTAGTTTCCCACTGCGCTGCAGAGCAAGGAACTTTTTGTTCCTGCAGTTTTGTTCATTTCGCTGCAGCTCTTGCCTTACTAACTATACGGCTTACTCCTGACTCATCTTCTGAGCTTACAAAATACAAGATAAAAATAGATTATTGTTCTATCTAAATTCCCATAATCCTTGTGGTCATTAAAAATAAAGTCATGCAACTGTTCTTAGTCAGGATTGCACTAATTAGTGCAATTGGTACTTCTGACCTTGCGATATCTACCTTTAACACGCTCCTGTTTGCAGTGCTGCCTGCCTTGCCACATACAGCATAGATAATGCTGCCTTAAACAACAGAGTGCCTGCGAGACATGCATGCAAACCAGAAAATTGGTCAGGAACCTTTTGCATAGCAATATACGTAGTTTATTCACATCCTCAATCTATGGCTTACTTGAATGTTTTGGCAGTAGATTCTTGCTGTATCTGCTGACATATTTACCATTTGATTTATCTACATTTCACTGGAGTCAGGACACCGCTGATGTAAATCCCTTAATAAGTTTAATCCCTCCCCATCAAGCTGTAATTAAATAAGTTATACTGATAGGACAATCAACTCTCTGAATATTATAACAAAAAGCGTAAGCAACAGGGGGCTTATGATGCAGGTCATGAACACACAATAACAAGAGCAGGAATTTAAACAGTTAATTTAGATTAGTTCAGAGAAATCCTCAATCATTGCAGACTTGACAGAGTTATACAAACCCAGCAAAGGTAGAGAGAAATAAGGCAGGGATTTTTTTTTTTTAAAAACTTCTCTCATAAGGCAGGAGGGAAGGAACCACCAGTGCAACAAAGATAGGACATTCATAACTAATGAGGCTTTTTTGAGACCGAGTAGACTTTGAAAAATGCTTACAAGTAGCCTGCTGGACTCGCTAAGCTCCCTGAGCTCAAAAATGCATCAGGGCTACAAAACAAAACAGGGGCACTGAAGAAGCTAAATAAAAAGAAAACAAAGCAGGGATATAAATTTCAATGTGTCAGACGTAAGGCAGCCTCTGATGGAAAGGTTAGGAAGAAAATTCCTATATATAGGCAGGTTATTTCATGCTTGTCCACTCCAGGGATCCTTCCAGCTTTCCCTGAGGCACTTGTACTGGCTGCTTTTGGTAAGAGAATAATGGTTCAGATCCGGATCTGAAGTCCAATTCACTATGCAATTCCTGTAATATATGTTTAGATAATAAATGAAGCCATTTTAATAGCTATTCTCAATGTAAGAACTACTGAGTAGTCTTAAAAATTGTTTTTGAATTTGTGGCTATCTCTTGCAGGATCAAGGGCTTTGTAAGCCCCAGAGCAGACATGTTGTGTTGGGAAGTCAAAGCCTACAAAAGAATTGGCCATCTGGCTACTAATAAAGTTGTTAAGTTCTCTAGACTTTCAGGCCAGAAAGGATCATGACAACCATCTACTCTAATTACCTGCATAATGTAGGCCACAACCTCCCATAGCAATTAGGCTAAACAGTGCCTACTTCTATTTCAGCTCCCTGGTAAAACATTTAACAGTTTTGACTTCCAGACTGAAGGGATGGAGGACTCATCCCATACCCAAGTCAGGGCTCTCCCCTAAACGGAGGGAACTTGGCTCATTCTGAACTCAGCTACGTTCTGCACCGAACCACTGAGTCTTAAACCTTTTCCTCCAGACCAGAATTCATGACTCAGTACCCAGAGAGTACTCGTACATACTAGATCTGTATTTTACTTTCCTTTGGGCAAACTAAGGAGACTGGACTCCTTTCTTCTTCCACTGAAAGAGGTTTTTCAGATTACTCTTGTAATTTTAATTGGCTCACAGACTCGGTCACTGTTTGCCAGTCTCTCAACTCTTTGTGGCGTCACTCCCTTCTGGGGTAATTTCTCTTCAAAGAGCCTCCATCTATTCCTTGCTGCCAGATCCTTCGCCTCTGACAGGTGCTGTCAAGCACAGCCCTTAATAGGTGATTTGAACTCCTCAGTGACTTGTCCTCATACATTTTTTTCATTCTACCACTTTGTTATTTATTTGTATTTGATTTCGTGTTAGCTTTTTCTTCCTTAAATAAAAATTTGAGCAGTATTTATTCTGCTGCATCAGATGTTAGCACTAGCTATCTTTGAAGTTCCAGATATATCATTCTCTAGGCTCATGAGGAAATCTTCATCAAACCAACTGGCTAACTCAGTACAAAAATAGACTGACACCAGGAAGGACAACCAACCGTAAAAGACCTATTTTCTTATTCCACATAGAAAATTTAAGGATTTAAGGAGATTTTAAGTACTAATGGATTCTACCTATAGAGAGATATTAATAAGCAAGCTTTTTTTTTGCAGAAGCAGGAGGTACCTTGTTTTACTTTGAGAGCGCAGGAACTAAAGCACATAACGTGCCCGAGTCTCAGACACCCGTTTTTACCCTCGCTTGCCCCCAGTTCACTGCGATCACCGTTCTTACAGCTATGGCCATTAGTCTGCAGCTTCTTTTAGAAGCAGCCAATTCACAATCAGCTAGAAAGTCAGCTGCTTCGATGCCAAGCTCATACCAGGCTTGGATGTCAGATGGGGGAAGAAAAGAGACAGACACCTGGAACGGACTGAACCTAACAGCAGAAATTGCCCTGTGCCACCGAAATAGCCTGCAACAGGACTTTGAGCGCATTTCACACGGTAAATTTTTTTACGTTGGCAAGAGACTAATCTTGCTACGCAGGAGCGTGCACACATGACGCGACACGACGTTAAGACCTTTTTAAAGTAAAAATACAAGATGGAGTCCCGAGAGAGAAAAATTTATTGACTTAGATCTGATCAGCATGTCACGATATGCTCACAACTCATACAGCTGACACTCTTAGAGCCAAGAGAGGGTTTTTTTTTTTTTCTTTTTAAAAATACAACTTTCTTTCCAGCAGGAAGGTTTTTTCTTTTTTTTTTTCTTTTTTTAAAACAAACATTTCATTACTAGGCAGGAATTAAAAACAATGGCTTTTTCAGTATGACAACACAGCTGGTCAGCACTGGCTCTGCCCCCAGCGCCTGAGACCCAGGTTTCAAGGTTTGCCTCTTACTTTCTCCCTCCCCCTCCCAACTCCCCGTTCCTCCCCTCCCCACACACACACAGGAAAACACTACTCAGAAAACCAAGACAAAACCCAGCAGGGAAACAGAGAGGTAGATGTAACTACGACCCTCGCACTGTTTTGCGAGTTGTGCAAGATGTCTCACTATGCTCCAAAAAGTTCGTTTTTCGTCACACGTTGCAGTATTATATCTCAGTAGTCTAAACTAAAAGTGACGCTGAACTAAGAGCTACTGCTGAGAGAGAGAGTCCAGGGCCACAGAACGAAGGGGGCTGCTTCGCGCCGTATCGCTTTGCCTAGCTGGAGATGTTTAAAACCAGACTGCTCTGCAGAAAAACCACACAGAAAATACACACGCACGCACGCACGCAGGATGACTACAGCCTTGCTTGCAAAAGGTCGTATTCACCTCTTCCAGAAGGGTGGCAGTCCGTGCTCGGTGTGGGCCCAGGGTCTGGGGTTTCCGTGCCCTCAGCTCGCAGGAAGGTGCCGCGGGGAAGCGGCGGGGGGGGCCCCCGCAGCACCGCCTGCGGCGGGGGCTGGCGCGAGGCCTGCAGAGCTGCTCCGTCCTCCCCTCTCCCCGTCTGGCGCTCACACGCTCAGCTTTGCTCTTCCCGAGAGCTCTGTAAGCAACGTTTAGCTATAACCTGAATAAACGTTCAAGCTGTATGGTGAACTGAAGTGTTATTTTACCATTTGTTGTGTTTATGGTAAGCACAGTAGATGCTCTGCATCATTATGTATAAACACAGTAAACAAACCCTCAGAAGAAAAATCGTCTCAGTTATTAAGGGTTAGAAGCACACGAAATCTTGGAGGAAAAAAAAAAAATTCAACTTGGCCACGCAAAAAAATGGGCCGGGGGGGGGCACCTAATAATCTCTGCAGAGAAATGCATCTTCTGCTATCTGTCTACATTTCTGAAAGACATCTTGGTTGCTGAAAGGATTTGATTAAAAAAAAAAAAAATTCAATGAAATAAGTTGAGTATAATAAATCGGCACATGGCCAGCCCTTTGCAAAATCACTAACAATCACTACAGGCTTCTGCATCCATTTTTATCAAACACAACAAAATGCAGGTAGCACAGGAGGGAAGGAAAAAATTGGAGGTAAAGTAAACGGTATCGAGAAAATTAATTTTCACCATACAAAAGGAACACCATTGCATAATAATATTAAAGGAATCAGCTCTTAATAGGACAATTGTTCCGTGTATAATTATTTCAGTATCCAATGATAAAATAAAAAGGTTTAACTTTAAAATGCAGAGAATCCTTTTAAAGACTTCTTTTGGATCACAACCAGGTAGTCTACAGTTTCGCACAGAAAAAATAAAGCTGCTCAGAAGTGTTCGTAACGTATGCAGACTTTGCAAACCAGAGCATGGTTTCAATTTTGCTTTTCCATTTGTTTTTTAAAAAAAGTGTAAAAAGTATCAAATATGCAATTTTGCAAAATAACCTTTTATTTCATATGGCTCCATTATTTCCAAACAATACAGTACCCCAGATGTATAATTATTTTGTGTGATTGTATCAGATCAGCACAAAATCTCCAGCCAACTATCAAAGAACGCACTGAACCCCAGTATCGTGATTTGGAAATTCCACTTTTAAGTACCTTTGGTCCCAAAATTTTATGTCAAGGCAAAGTGGAGCAGTTGAATCCTGTCACACACAGTGATCGGTATCTGTATTAGTATTATCAAACAGGTGAAAAAGTTAACAGCACTTTATGGCAATGTCAAACAGAAGAAAAACAATTACATCGTTTGCAGAACAAGTGTACAATCAACAGTACCACAGTGGTCATTTTATTTTTAATACAACAAGATGTATCTTATTGTTGTTGTTGGGGGCGGAGGAGGGAGAAGGGAGCCTTTAAGTTTTCCACTGAGCAAGGTACATGGAAATCTTGCTTCTCAAGATCTGGAGACTTTAAAAAACCCCTCCTGTAAGACACACCATTGTTGAAATACTTGATAGAAGCATGCATAAAATACAAGAGAATCTGTAAGGAGGGAACGCACACAAAAAGGGAACTAAAAACGGCACTGGCCATGGCAAACGGGCAAACGTGCCTCACAAAATGGGAATCAAAGGGCAGCAGGGCTAAACTGTTATGACTTACATTATTTCAACTGTAACAACTCTTTTACGAACAATTAAACACAAACTTACAGCTGTTTTGTGTGTAACTTTGGCAGAGAACCGTCCTTATTCACAATGCGCTTAAACTGCTACGTTCTCACTTGTGTGCCACAGCTTTCAGTTAACTTTTCCTGTAACCTTCTTCATCCTGTAACTCTTTATACGTTCCTCCACTGTATTGCTCCTAAATTCACAGGTATATTAATCACGCAACCATTTTGTGATCAGCCGTATGGTTCATTAGCATCATTTTCTAGCAAATGCAGTTGGAACAGTTCAGAACAGAAAACCCAATCGACGGCTGGTGGCAAAACGCTCACTGCGGCTATGACACCAGGCAACGGCCAGCAACCATAACCGAACTGTAACTGACAGGAATTCATGTTTTACAAACCAGCTTGCTAAGCTCCAGCCTTGACCAGCATGGTATTTTCAGTACAGAATTTCCTACATACGCTTTATGTTCTTCCCCCTAACAAAAAAAAAAAAAAAACAAAAAAAACACAGACCCAAAACTTTTATCCAATTAATTCTCTTCCACGAAGCTGTATCCAAGTTCCTGCTGGGAGTGCTGCCCTGGGTACTTCCGAGTTCCTAACAACAGTTTCCAGTCCAGCGTCATCGACAGCAATTCAGCCATAAAGACACATAGCATCAGGCTTTCTTCACGTTTTCCAGTGCAGGCGGGAAAGAAACGATCTAAGTACTATTTACTCTCCCTATCAAAACTACAATCAGTGCTTGAAAACAAGTGTCTTGCAATAGTTAAGAACAACCAAGGAACAAACTGAAAGTTAACAGGACCAGATAAATCCAACGATCGCCTGAAACGTTATTGCGCGTCACTAATATTTCCTTAGGCAGCATGTGAACGCTCGCTACGACCACAGTCCACTGGAAAAAAAAACATATACTGCATTTGAAAAAACACAGTATGCTCTTACACGGAGTTTGCTGGGTTTATAAGGAACAACCTCCTGATGTGAATTACCGCTGTGCAATCTGCTTACACAAACTTCCCTTTCCTACCACTCTAGTCTGTCCAAGTTCAAAATAAAAGCAGCAGTAATCTGGGCTCCTGAGCAAACCACCTGGCGGAGGACAGGCAGAGCGGTCCGCCACCTGCACTCTGCAGCTCTGAGAGCCCGTCGGCGCCCTGGCCCTGAGGCGGTTCGAACGACAGAAGCACGCAGGCGGCAACAGCCCCGGGCCGCCCCCACATCTTCCTGTGAAGTGGCAAATTAAGCGCCTTCTTTCGTTCAGCTGTTATTTAACATCAGCATGAGGAAAACATTATGCACCCCTGACTGCCTCCCTTTTCAGTACACGCCTCTTTTAAAACGGATTTTCTTTTGCACTAGAATTCAGGTGCGTCGTGCCTGGGTGTAAAGAGGCGGGATTCAGAAACAGCATCTTACATAAAACGTTAAGCGGGAGGCAAACGCTGTCCTTTGCCTTCCAGCTGCAGTGGTATTGTAGGTCAGTGAGGTATTTCAGGGGAACTTGCCATGAGGCATCATTTTGCAGCCATCCCCATTGAGCTACCACAGAATAAAACAACGGCTTTTGGGGGGGTGGTGGAGGCATGGGTAACTATATATATTTTTGCACTAAACCAGGGAAATCTGCATTGCCTCAACTTTTGGTATGCTCCTTGCTCTTCCCTCCTCCAAGGGGAACACGGGCTATGTTTTGCATTCTGTGTACCACCCGTTGCGATTCATGTAGCACAAGAGAAAGAAGAATCAATATTGCTAAAGCAGAGCCAAAACTACTGAGGGCTGGTTTCGTTCTCAGTAAAATTAGTATATAAAAGGCAGTACGCCACAGTTAAGTTCTGGCTATCCTGCTTGTATTTAGAGAGATTAATTTTATTTTAGGAACAGCTCTCTCAAATCTTTTGTGTAATCACATAAGCATGATGCCAACTAGACCTGCCAGAAGTGAGAATATACATCATTGACATCCTTTCAAAAACATCACATGTTACATCTGAAAATGTCACATGTTCCAATTTGCCTTCAAATTCAACTCCTCCTTCCATTATGATTTTAGCCCAGTGGCAGACCTACTCTGAATAACTACATGGAGGGCAGTATTATTTACCGTACTTTTTTTGCAGTAGTTTGAATATCTTCCTATAGATTTAGGCTAGCAATTGTACCTATTTTTTCTTAAGAAAATAGTTTTTCTTTTTTTTTTTTCCTAAGCAAAACACTAAGATTGTTGGCATTGAATTATTTAAACTCCCACGAGCATATTTAGCGCTGTTGCAACTAGCAGGGGAGAAAAAGGCCTCCATAAACCATTCAAAGGTCACCTTGGTTAGACTGCAGCATACAAAATACAGAGGTGGCTAAAAATCACCAGCAGCACCAGAAGACCACTAATCGCTAGAATCGTCCTGGCTTCCAATTTGTGACAGATAAAAGCTTTCCCCTACATCCTCAGCTGTACATCTTTCCTTCACTGTATTTCCACCTTTAAAAGTGCATTTTGCAAAATGATAACGATCAGCGAGACGTGTTCTGAACACAAAAAGGGAAAATAAATCAAGCGACTTTAGATTTTTCCAAGTTCCCTCATAACATGAGATACTGTTAGCACACAGAATTCAGACAGCTGATGGTAAAACCAAAACAAGGATGGGCTGATTCATCAAACGTGGATAACTTTTAATCACAATATGATACTGCATTGCTTTTTTGAGCATTGATTCCCCACAAAAACCATCTGACGCTGGATCTTATTTGGGTCCTGTTTTGAGACTGGTGTGTCTAATACAACAACTGCTGACTGGGTAGTAGCAACGATACCACCATCAGCTCTGCAGAGTATCTTTACTGACTCCATCACAATGAGTTGTAATAAAGTACGAGTTTGTGCAAATGAGGAATCTCTACCACACAAGTGTTGTACAGACTACTGAAGAGACACGTTGCTGAATTTTCTGAGCTCTAACTACAATGCCAAGAAATACTTGCGGTGATAGTTTTCTTGTCGCAGACGTTCTTCTATGACGGTTGTACGATTGCACCTTTTGTCCAAATGCTGAATTTGCTTAAGTGTGGGTGAGAGTATACACCTTTTAAAAATACAGACAATTCTTAAAATAATACATCATCAGGTCACTATGTTACTGATCTTCACTTTTAGTGGAGTTTAAAATTTCCCCAGAGAGAGGTAAGGGTCCGTCCAGTATTTTCCTTTACTCTTGTATATTCACATTTGCACATACAACATGATACTCATTGGCAAGAGCCTGGTTTCCCATCGTGTCCTCAGGTCCCATTCAACTTTTAAAATAGGCAATGATAAAAATACTGAAAGATGCAGTACCACATACCGCCTGACAAAAATGCAAGTGATTGTATGCCAACTAGCCACAAATTACTGAGGGTCATCTCCCGAGAGACGGCTTTTGTTTGGCCCTGTAGCGGAGGAAATGCTCCTAAAAAAGAAAAGAAATAAAGCTTTTAATGCTGGTGTAAGCAGGAAT